GTTTATCGGTACAGAGAGATTTTTGAAGGTAACAAACACCATTGATGAAAACGTCACCATCAAAAATTGCCAATAGTATAACGGATATAATAAAAACACATTTTTCAAAATGCTACTATTCAGTGAAAAAGAGAGATATTATTTCCAACTTTGAGTATGGAATGTATAATATATCTGGTTTATTAATACAGAGAGGTCTTTGAAGGTAACAAATACCAGTGATGAAAAAATCACAATCAACATTTGTTATATTGTGACGGGTCTTTTGGAATTTTTATTTTTATTATTGTTTCCTTAGAAATTCGCCATGCAATAACATTGTGTATATTAGTATTACAGCAGAGTATCTTCTGAATATAATTCTGTTTTTTTTTTGTTTTTATTTATTTATTTTTTTAAAGTGGTAAATTTTCCCTTATAGTATTCCGTGTAACATCCATTAAAAAAACCGTACATATTAATTTATCATAATGATATTAATTAGATTTGTTGATCTACTTGTATGACACCCCCCAATAGTCTATTATACATCTTATTTAAGAAATGTGTTATTTCCAAAATTTTTAATTTGGGAATTTGGCAAACCAATTAAAGATATATAAATATAGTCATAATTTGCAATGACTTGAAAAACATCCTTATTGCATTATCACATAACACTCTATTTATTTTTATTCTCTTAACATTTTTTTAAATGGACAACACTATCTGCGAGGAATTTGTACACTATGATCATTTCTAAATTTAGGAAAATATTACCAAATTTAACTAGCTCTTGACTATCGTATCTAAATTTGGCAGTAAGAAAACTAAAATCACGTGAAGTCCTATTTTTTGAAAAATTTTATTACATTTTTGAACCTAAAAAATTTAAGCCAACCCTGTTGATATATATTTTCAACTTTTCTTATTATTATGACAAATGGCCAAATTTTTATTAAAAGCAAATGTTAAGACCTCTTCATTCTATTTAGACATGTTAATGTAAGTAATTCCACTTTCTACATAAAATTTGCAATTCACTAAGGATACCAGCTGCAACTTTTGATGATGGTTACTGCCACCTTTGCATCATATAAAAATGATTACAACCACCTTTACAACCTTTTTTTTGGATTGCAACATGGAACACTATGATTCACCAAGTTTTTATTGATTCTAGGGCATTCCTAAAATCTAATGATATTTTATCATTTTTGTTTACTTCATACTCGTCATTATCATCATCTTCTTCATTCTCTTTGTTTGATATTCATGAAGCAATAATTCATTATTAACAGCATCATCTTTTTCTTCTAATCTATTTATATAAAATTTTATATTTGAGACAATGCCCTTTTTATAAAATTCCAAACAATGATTACATCTGTTGTTTTTTCTCTCCAAAACATCTATGATGATAAGCATGATTACATATTAACATTATACCTTATTTCAAATCTTTGATTACAATAGTCACAGCTATTATTAGATGGTGGTTTAGAACTATGATATCCAGCTGGTAAGCATTGTAATTTACATCCTCATTTAATGTTGTGAGATGATACTCATTCTTTTTAACCTTTCTACTTTTTCCCATATTTTGATAAATTAGATGAAAATAATAATTGATTAAAAATATTCTGGCTTTATATTTTAAATAATCTATGGTGAATTCTTTCTTTCCAATAAGTGCCTGGAATTTGTGAGGATGATCAGCAATCCCTTTGTTGTGCTGGATGCTTATTGGACAGGAGAGCAAGTACAAGAATCTGATCTACATTCGGAATTGTGCATTGAACAGGAGAGACCATTCTGGGAACACAAAAATTAACAGGAGGGAACACAAAATTTTAACCCATGCTATTTGTTGATT